GAGAATTCCATGAAGCACATGAAATAGAGTCGTGATTTTTTTCTTAAAAAAACAGAGCATTTGATCTGATGAGAGCAGTAAATTTTGAAGCTTGACACCGGTTACGCTTATTTTCCTCAACATAGCGCTTAATGAATCTTATAGTGCTTAGAGGGTTCAATGGTACTATAAGGACATTGAGTAGTATTCACTATTGATCGATGCAAACAAAGTTACTTTCACAACCAATCATGATTTTATACTCGTATAAACTTGATTTCAATAATAATCATTTAATTAGTTATATTGGTTTCAAATTTAATGCTTCATATTTAAATAACATATCTTGTTCATTTGATATATTTATAACTTATTTTTTTCATTATCTATTTACTTCTTATTTCTAATTTGTTAGGTAAATTTATACGTTTAACTATCTAATCGCTTGTTATTGTTGAAAGAATCAAAACCTTTATAGATTTTTAAACGAATTAATGTTTAGGATCAAAGCCACATATGTAGTACATAAGACCCTAATGTATAAATCTTAAACCAATGATTGTGTTTTAGGATTAATATAAATACAATGGTACCCTAATGTATTTTAAATGAACCCTAAGAATTTTCAATCGTAGTACATACGACCCTTTAATGGTATCCATAGAGGGTTCACTGGTATCTATCCTTGTACTCTTAGTAAAACCCTTTTATTATACATACAATACGGTTGAACATTATAAAGATGTTTTCTAGTACTACCCTAGAGACCTCCAACGAAACCCTTGTATTATATAGACAATACGGTTGAACATTATAAAGATGTTTTCTAGTACTACCCTAGAGACCTCCAACGAAACCCTTGTATTATACAGTTGTCCATTTTTTTAACTCAGTGAAGCATATGCACGTGAAGCTTTAAACAATATAAGCAAACACATACCCTTGACACCCTGGTAGTAGTACCCTAGGAACCTTTAGCGAAACCCTTTTATTATGCAGTTTAACATTATAAAGATGTTTCTAGTAGTACCCTGGAGACTTTTAACGAAACCCTTGTAGTATACAGTTGTACATATTTTTGACTCAGTGAAAGTATATGTATGTGAAGATTATAAAACATTATATGCAAAAATGAAATAAAAAAAGGTGAAATGTACATTTTCCCCACTGTTGTAAACATATGAATGTTAAGCTAATTAGGTGATCATGGATTATGTATGGTAGTATTTGCGGTTTTATTGAAACAAGATCTTAATTAGTTCTCTTGTACGAAGTATATAATAAGATTTATAACAATCCATATTTAATGTGACTGTATGATGAGATCTATAAGATGACTTGATAGGGTTATGAGCTCCATGTAAACTTAATTTGAAGCTATCAATGGTACTTGTGTGATGATTGATGATACGCATAACGACACAAGTATATTTTATTATCAAGCATATTCTCAATCATCATCACCGTTCATTAACAATAAATTGCTACATATTTCGAGGAAGTTAAAGTTGATTCTATTAATTTTGTAAGTCAAAATGTTATATTTTTGAAACTTTTCAAGTCATTTTAGATAATCTTTTTTTAAAAAAAAAAAAAAAAAAAGATAAACAAATGAGAGATTTCTAATGCAAAAAAAAAAAAAAAAAAAAAAAACAGCTAGGCAATCTCTAATGCAAAAGCATGAGAGATTTCTTTTAGCAATAACAAATGAAAACAAAATACTTCCTCTGTTTTTTTTAGTTGACACATTTCTATTATCACGCTTACCAACGCATGTTTTTAACGCTTAATAACTTTAATTATCAACATTATAAAAATTATAAAAAGTGGAAAATAAATAAAATATACATATAAACGATTCAAACAAGATCCCACATGAATATGTTTTATTGTATCTATAAACCACAAAAGCGAGTCAAAGCGTGTTGTGAGAATAGTGTAAAAGTCAAACAGTATCAACTAAAAAAACGGAGGAAATATAAGACATTTAATTTCTTTTAGCTTAAAATAAAGCTCTCAACAGTGTAGCCAGGCAATCTCCAATGCAAAAGCATGAGAGATTTCGTTTAGTAACAAATGAAAAAACCATGATATGTCTTCAAATCTCTGCTGACATAATTGGTTTAGCTTTAATCATAGCTAAAAACGAAAATAACATCATACTGCAAAACTCAAGATAAATTATCATATGTAGTACTAAATTATCATTTACATAGTACTATAAGAGTTAATAAGAAATATTTTTATACATTATTAATGCTATGCCTCCAAAAATAAATACTCACCAAAAATATGTACTACAAGGGTTTATCATAATTTTAGTGTCAAATTAAGGAAGATAAATGATAGACAAACTCAATTATAAAAATTTAAATAACGTGTTGGCGTCTTAAAAAAAAAATAAACTTTGAGCAAAAATAAAGCTGCTTCAATTAAGTGTATGTGGATATTGAGGAGAGAGGAGAGTAATACAAGGCTAAGAAAGAAATGAGAAAAGATAAAATATTAAAATTTTAAGTATTGCCCCACCATTTTCCCATTTGTTTTTTTATTCACCTGTGGGTCCCATATCGTTATCAAATTTTACTATACAATTATATTTTCCCTCCAATTCCTCACCCCGTTACACCAAAAGTTGCATTTTATTACAAAAGTTGTTATGTTAATGTATTTCTATATACATAACTAACCTCCCTTACTACTTTCTCGTTTCGTTTACAATTTTATAATAACTCAACTACCCCAAATATCTTTTATTTTATTTAAGTCAATTATATTGTGTAAAACTATGTACCGGTCAAAGTATAACGCTTAGTAAAACACGAAAGAAGTAATAATATATGAATGAAAAGAGGTGTCATGCAAAACACTAGTCACATCTTGCATTGCTCAAGTCCTTTTCTCTCGTCTATGCACCTTACCACCAATAACATCTATCACCTCATCTCAAGTGAGAAACATGCGATAGTTTACAGGTTACATACTTAACAAGCAGTGAGGTCAACACATCACCTTTAGACAAAACGCTACCACCACAACGCATCGTCACTCTATACACCTATGATCCACATAACTAGGGGTGCTAATTGAGCAAGTCGATCACGAGCTAAGGGATGCTTGACTCGACTCGAAAACTTTTTTCATGTGCTCAACTCGTGCTCGTTAAAGTTTTGAGCCAATAAATCCTAATCGACTCGTGTTCGTTAAAGTTTCGAGTTGAGTCGAGTAGCTCAGGACAATCTCATTAAAATTTTGGCCCTTCTAAAATTATAGACCTTTATTATTTTTGCTCACTTTATATAGTTTTCTTTTATTATTTTATTTATTATTAAAGATTTACTCTTTCTTTTTTTATAATATAAGTTAACTCTTATTACGTGTCAAATTTGTTCATGGTAATAACTTTATTTGTAAATTCTATATTAATAAAATATATTATTGAGTTGCTCACGAGTTTATCGAGTCGAGTTAGAACTTGCTCAACTCGTGCTTGTTAACATCTCGAGTCGAGTCTAGCCAACTCGAGCCGAGCTTTGATGGAGGTTTGAACGAGTCGAGTCCGAGTTGCTCACCTACACATAACCATGAACAATAGAAGAAAGCGCACTGCTTCTAAGATGGAATTTTATCATTTTCTTTTTCATGTTAAACCTCCTTACGCAAAAACTTGACAAATTATCGCCTTTCTTTCATATCCCTGCATTGGTTTGAATAAAAAAAATATAATAATTTTTTTTTTTTTTTTGTTCTTTCTTTCTTCCCACAAGCCATGACCAATGAACCTTTGATGAACTTCCATTGACCTTCAACAAAATAACCGGCATGACCATCATCATCTAACTTTTTCACGAAAATCAAATTTACAAGATTATCTGTATCACGTCTGACATTTTTTAGGTCAACCTACAACTAATGAAAGTATGATCACTTTCCTTCTTCAATTCGTCCAACAAAGTACAACTCCTCACTATTATTTGCAAAGTCCGAAGTATTTCACCCTCAGTAATTTTTATTCCTGTTTTTTCTGAGGCCTTTTTGTCTTCAACTACATAAGCTTTTCTGTGATCAAAAGAAGAGTTGAGATCCTTTTACCAACTTCTTCATTTATAAAGCTTGAGTTCACCATTTTTCCATTGTAAGTTTCCCCTCAATTTTTAGGTGACACAACAGAAAATTTACCAACTATCTAGCAAAAAACGAAGGAGAAGACTACTACTACTACTACTACTAAGGAGGTTTTCAATTCTCAATGCCTCAATTGTTCTATGCGTGGATTTGCACTTTGCTGTCTCACAAGCTAAGTCATCTAAGACAATGCTTAGTTATCACGCGCCCACCTAGGTGGGTATATATGTAAATCATGTTGGGTGGACCGAAGGATGTGGTGACTAATGGGTGTGGTAGTTGATGGTTGTCGTGGGAGTGAGGGGTGGTGACTGATGGAGGGTGATAAATGTGACAGTGAATGTTATGGTGCGAGTAAATAGTGCCCATTGGCTAGTGTCAATGTTAAGAGGGTGTGTTGGTGGCTGAGATTGGCGGTGGTGGGCTAGTGGGGGTGGTTGATGGTGAATGATGTTTAATGTGCAAGAAGAGGAGAAAAAGGAGGGATAAATTGCTTTGTGTAAAAATGCCTAGTAATGTAGGGAAGAAGTTTAGAGAACCCTTTAGGCTATGTTTGGATAATAAAAAAATGGAAGGAAAGGAAGGGAAGGGAAAGGGAGGGAGACAAACTTCCTTGTTTGGATAATATGTTGGGGGAGGGAAGGAGAGGGGAGGGAGGGATCCATTTTCCCTCCTCCGTTAATAAAGACCATCCCTTCAAAATTGGAGATATTTGGAGGGAAAATGGAGCTCATCATTTCCTCCACTTTCCCTTCCTTCCCCTTCCTCCTATTTCCCTCCCTTCCATTTCCCTTCTAATTTGTTATCCAAACATAGCATTAAGCCAACAGCTATACAAGCGGTTAAGATCCACATTTGCGACGCTTCTGATTGATTAAAGCAAAGATGACAGACACTTGAAGAGAATGCAATTGGTATAATAATCTAATGCTTTCAGCTTTCAATTGTACCAAGACCACCAACCCTACAGAGGTATATATTCATTTTAATTTAGAGCAACATAGACCAAGAAAAGCACATAATGTCTGATAGTTTTGCAACATCAACTATACGTGTTCTCGACGAGAGGGAAAGGGAACACTAATATGCTCCTGTAAATCCTAATACTTAGTAGCACATAATGGTGATGGGGCAGCGCCTGTGTGCGATGTGTGCTCCGTATCCTCATGTGGTCAGAACATGTTCAAGGGCTTTAGTATTGCAATTTCCGATGGGCTTTAGACTTCAGCGTCGACGATTAGCTTTGTATCAAGCTTGGAAAACTCCATAAAGAAGGCTTTTAAATGCATATATGAATGCAATACGTCATCAACTGCACACATTTCCCTTATGCTATGCATTGATAGCTGCGGAGCACCAATATCTACTGTGCGAATTCCCACGCCACTAGCCAGGATAGGACCAATTGTGGAACCACAAGGCATGTCATTTCGCACCACAAATTCCTACAAATATACAAATTCATCATGTTAATTTTGCACGTCACAAGAAAATAACTAATACTCCGTTAAGGAAGAAACATATGGCACAATCTTTTTTAAAAATAAAGTAAAATGGACATTAGAAATTGGTAAACTAGTAATAGCATTCAAAACGAAATTCCAATCATTGTACATTAGAACCAAGACATGTGGCAACTAGCACTATGCTAATCTATTGAAAAATCAAGACTTGATTGATACGAAGTAGTAACTAGTTCTACCAAAATAATTTTTGTGATAAATAGATAAAACCAGAGCTAGAGTGCCTTTGCAAGCATATTAGAAATTATTGGAAATATGAATCAAGATAAGTGATAATTTTATCAGCTATTTTCCAATAAAAATATGCCTTTTTTTGGCTGACAGATTTGCTCTTTCAAGACAACAATAAAATTTACTTAAATTACAACTGCAATCCTACTTTCACAAGGTGTTTTAATCTAATCATAATCAGCTGAACATAAAGAGCTACTACCTTTTTCCCTTTTAAAATTGAAGCACAAAGACATGGGAATTAGTGAATTAAACCTTTGAAAACGGAAAAAAAAATAAAATAAAATAAAATAAAAAAATAAAAAATAAATTTTTTTTACTATAGTCAAGCCAAATAATCAAAAATCATTTAGAATAGAAGATAAGAAGGATTAAACCTAGAACTATTTTTCTTTCCATTTTGTTAATAGTCAGAAAGTGCTTTAATTTAGCATAAAAAAAGTATTTCATACATGAGTAGATAAATAAAGTTAATATAATATAAAATTTGCAATATGAATGTAATTGAGTTGCTTTTTTATGTTACCAAGGAGTCAATGAACTAGGCTAAGAAGTCACTCATTTGGAAATGATCAAAACACAATGTATTGTAATGCATCTCAACACATGAATACCATAAATATAGTGTGATATGCGTTGCTTCTAATTACAATAACATGATGAAGTAAAATTGAACATGGACCTGAACGGCAAACATACCACACACATGAATCATGCAATATCATCACAATTTTTATGAATATTAGTATGAGCCCAGACCTGAATAGGAAGTTGGTGTATCTGCCCTATCTCCTTGAATATAAAGGAGGTTATAGCATTAGTGGCATAACGCTGATTTGCATTGTGTTTAATAACTAATCCCCCATGCATCTTTGGTTGATGATTCTCTTCATGTTTGTCCTGGAGAATAATTTTCAAATTTATCAAAATCCAAGTGAAGCTTGATCAATTGATGTAAAATTCTGAATTCCAAATTAAAAGAGTCATGTCAACCTACCATGTAGTTAGGGTGTAGCGCATGAGCCATGTCAGCTGATACGAGAAAACTTTTCTGCACAATTTTTTCTAGCATCTGAACAATTAAAGGAAAAGGGAATGAGTTGCATATAAGAGAAGAAAAGATAAAGTATAAAAGCATCAACAATCTTTCTCCAGACGAGGCCTAAGTCCGTACAACTCTACTATGTAATTTCCAAAAACACGATCTCCAACTCCCTCTGTCCACTGTTGATTATCATCCTTATATATATGGCCTTCAACTCATTCATACACGGATATACCACTTATATTATTGATTACATTGAAATTACATTATAATAAGCTCATATCTAATAGGTCTGAAACTACATACAGAAATAAATCCAACAAGAACCGACATGAAAAAATTCTACATTTTTGGGAAAACTCTACATGGTGGAGAAAGTGAGAGCTTGTAGGAACTATTCCATCCAAAACAATAGCAATTGAAGTACACTTTAATTATCAAAATCTCATTACCATCTTAACATCGGAGCAGAAGGCATTAGTAACTCTGGAAATGGTGTCCAATGTGACAGGAGATCCAGCTCCTTGAGCTGAATTAGATCCAACTTCTTCATGATCATAAAGTGCCACCATTCTAACACCAACTTCATCATCAAGACTACCCTCAGGGGATGTAGCATCTATCAACGCCTGAAACACCATAGCAATTGGTAAATCACAGAAGTGAAAGAGTAGTCATCACATGTTTGCTTCACACCACAACCCCCCTTCCCTCTTCCCCCAAAACAAATGTGAAAAATAAAATAAATAACATTAAGGTAGAAAGTCTCACTCGTTTTGAATAACATATCAGTAACACAAGTTTTTTTGTTTGGTAACAATTCTATTTCACTTTGGGAAAAAGTAATAACCACTTGCACATAGTGTCAAGAGAAAAGTGTCACATCAAAATTTGAGAAATACTTTGTATTTGTTTACCGCATAGTATGAAAGTAAAAAAAAAAAAAAAAAAAAAAAAAAAAAAAAAAAAAAAAAAAAAAACCAAAATATAGGGAAACTCAGAATTATCTGATAATTATTTATATGATTGGCCATTGATTTGCTGTGCTTATTCATTTTGTTCCATAGCTTAATTCATTGTGCTTTATCTTTGGCTGATCTTCTATATTCTTATTGCTTTGAATCTTTGATACCTTCACATATTTTTTTGTTTTGTTTTGGTTATAGACGAAGGTGTAAATCAAATCCTATGTCATTCTCTAGTCTCCGGCTCCCCCCACCCCCAACACACACACACACCTCCCTGCTTCCTGTTTGGCCATACAGCCATTTGAGGAACAAAAATATATATTAAAGGATATTATCATGAGAATATAGCACAACTCCTCCCTCCCACCCTAGAGCCGGTTCATCAGATTGGTTTAGGTGGTTGTGAGGAGTTGCAAGGGGTATAACAGTTGGGAAATTTACAATGGATGGATCAGGGCTAGTAATAGCCATGGACTTAGGACTATTGTACTGCATTATGAAGTGCATAAGCTGGTGTGTACAGAAATATGTAAACAGAGTTTAAGGTGGTGCACAAAACATATGTAGTTCTACTAAATTATGTAAGAAGGTTTGAGAGACATTGAGTCCACAGAAACAGCTTGTCACTGAGGCAGTGACTAAGCATTGAATAGTATTTCACTAGGAGTCCAATCAGCACCATTTCACTCAGCTAAGTTGTTGGAGTCCAGTACTTATATGGCCTTTGGTAGTCTTCACAATGTTCATCTTGGTAATCAATAAGGGAGGAGAATAGGGAACTTTGTTTCAGTGAAATGCTTCTGCTGTCTAAAGGATAGTCAACAAATGTCTCATGTGATAATTAGTGATACCTATAGTAAGGACAGTAAGAAAGCATACAGTGATCTCTAGGAATATTTCTTTCACTAACTGGAGGCCTTCTATTCTGAATAGGAATCCAGATCATCCCTTTTCAGTTATGGAGACTAAATTGACACTGGAGCAGGGTTCAGTGGCAAAGATTATGGCTCTGCCCTCCTTCCAACCTAAGTTCTCAGCAATTACATATTTACATGTAGACCCTCCATCCTCGAAAAAAAAAAAAGTCTAATTTCGCCTTTTTCTATTTTTCTATTCATTTTTTATCAGCTAAACTCCACTATTTTATGTTATACACTTTTATCAGCCAAATCCTGCTATCTTCTTTTTAATATCCACCATTAATCAGCCAAACACCATTACCTTTAGTTTTATTCACCCCCTAATGGGAATTTTATTAGGGGGCAGAGAGATAACTTTAACACCTGAGTTCCCTTTCATCAAATTTGTGTAACACTATTCCATTTCAAGTTAATTCACCAATTGTCTTATTCCATATTTGCCCATTTCCTTCTTATAAATTTATAGTTTGTTCTTCCAAATAGTTTGAACCATTCTATGATTACTGCTGTAGTTTTAAACTTAGTTCTTATGTGCATGAAGTTAATGGCGATTATCTCATTAGTTGGCATTTTAACTCTTGATTTCTGATGTATATGTTACCTCGTGTGTGTGTGTGTGTGTACTTTCAATGGTCCAAGATGCAATGTCACATAGTATGCAACATTTATGACTTCATCATTGAAATCAATAATACAAAGTTGTAGACTCAATCCTTCCACGATAGACTTATACTGCTCTGTCTCCAAATAACTAAACTAAGTTTCTTATATATATATATATATATATATATATATATATATATATATATATATATATATATATATATATATATAAGTGTAACGGGTTCCAAATGCTAGTTTCTATTCTTAAACAAATAATGGAAACTGTTTCCATAAAAAGTGACTTGTGGTAATCACAATGAAGCAAAACAGAATAACTAAATAATCAAAGATATACTGCCATGATTAGTGTACTAAAATTTGGTAGGATAGGAATCCAAAAGCCAAACCTTCAAGGAACAAAATGACATGCAAAGATTATCAAGCCTTCCTGAGAAAACAAACTCCTTTAGTGCACCAGCTATCAGACTTGGCTGAGTATCGCATGCTTGCAGCTCAAAATCACATATATCATCAGGTTCACATCCAATTTCCTTCGCTAGCAGCTGGTGAAACAAAATAAAGAATGCAAAGGTAAGCGTAAGTCTCTCTCGTTCAATCAAAAAAATTCTTCATATAATTGATGGAGAAGGATATGACTACTAGAATTGCAAAGAAGTGAAATGCCCAAACCTTAAGCAAGAGGGAATGATGTTTCTGGTTCTCAGTTGATTTTTTTGCCTCAGTCTGAGCTCCATTATCAGCTGAATCATTTTCATTAACACTTCTATTGAGTTCATCCTGGAAATTTTGTACAAGGAATAAAATATAGAGGCTTAGTGAAAAAAAAAAAAGGCAAATAAACAAAAGATTTAAAAGAAAAAATAAAATTAAAATTAGATTTTCTCTTTCCAGGTGTTGGATAACGCTACCCAACAGCTCCTCTTAGAGTCTTAGATCTTGTTAAAAAAAAAACAAAAGAAAAATAAAAAATAATAATAATAATAATAATAATAATAATAATAATAAAAATACTTTTTATCAACACACCTAAAAGGAAACAGCCACTAACAACCCCCTAGAAAAAGTAGTAATGAAAAGTTATTCTGTAGCATGTGAAGAAAGTTGTTACTAACAGTTCCCATGGCTTTGGCCATAATATTCCCACTATCAAAAATCAACATAGGAATCAGGTTGTTTCCACTAAATAAGATATGTAAGGAATAAGAATCTTCAAATATGTTAGAAATTTCCAAACCTTACAGAAAGAACAAAAGCCAAAATCAGGTATCCTCTTAATACAACAACAAAGACAAAATGGCAATTGCAAGATAAAGCGTTTAGAAATACTCTCTTAGAAATAAAGACAATATGTGAAAGAAGCGTAGAAGTAATCTACTAGCTTACAAGTTATCACAAATGGCATACAAATTATTATTTTATCAATCTCATAAGCTTATACTAACAACAATTGAAAATGTCAAATTCTTTTCCACTTAGATTGTGTCCAAGTATTCTTTCATTCAGATATACCTTCATACACCATAAAAAGAATACACACAATATGCTAACTAGATTGAGAACAGTTTGTCATAAAACCTTAATTGATGTCGCCAAGATAGGAGCAAGATGACTTTGTGTATTTGGTTTAAAACCATCGCTACCCCTAATAAAATGACAAGGCATTGAAATTAGGAAAGAAGAAATAACAAACCATCGTAATAATAATTATATAAAAAAAAAAAGTCATAAAAAATCATAACAATAAGAAAGGAAAACTTAAAACAGCATGGTCATAATACATTAAAAAAAAAGCATGGATTACAAATTTACAATTGACAAATGGAATGCAGAGCGTAAATCAAAACTTTACCTGTCTAAGTGAATTGCCAATGTAGGAATCCGCATTATAGGATTATGAATCCTGACAAGCCGGTGAGAGTATGAATGAGAACCATCTTTCACTTTTTTGATGATCACACGTCCGGCAACTGCCAAATCGCGATCAAACCATGTGTGCCACAAGCCACCACCATACGTTTGGACACCAACCTCTAGATATCCCCCTTTAGTTACCTATCAAAAAATGAAATGTTTATTGCGAAAATAATTCTCACATCAACCCTGCTCCTTAGTTATACCCTATAAAAAGTGTCTTTACCTTCGATGTTGGCTTCAATTTCAAACAAGGGCTATCCGTATGAGCACCGACTATATGAAATCCATTCCCAGCAACATATCTATACCAAAATATAGGACATCAGACATCCTTTCACCCAAGCACAAATGAATAAATCTTTAATTTTATGCTATCTTCCGTCCTATGGGAAGGGTGGCTCTTTGAATCACAAAATTATCCATTCACTCACGAAATTAATTCATGTGAGATTCAAAAAAAAACCCCTAATTCCATTGTTCATCATATGCTCAAGCTTTTAACATCATTAATCATTTGATAATTAGTCAACACTCAATAGCATTAGACACTCCCTAATCCTACTCATTGATACCTTTTCTATAACGGTTTCGATGTACGCAACCTTATTGGCTAACTTCAAGTATCTATAAGTATAAACACTAATCATCAACTAAACATTAATCATGAAAACTTGAGAAAAATAAACTGATTATTTTCCAATTCAATAGAATCTTCTTAGAAATTTGAAATTAGAAAGATTGAAAAGCATACTTTTTACCAATGGCAAAAGCAACAATGGTGGAGTAATTTCTAGTGAAGAAATACTTTTTCCCAGCTTGTAAACTCCAATCTTCTCGCTCAGAAAGCTGCTCAAACCCAGCTTCCTTCAATTGTCTCTTGGATTCATCTGAGATTATGCTTCAATTAGTTAAAGGGTAATTAAACATATCATAATCTAATATCAAACAAATCAAACGAAAACTCCCAGATTTTTTCGCCCAATTATTTGAAAAATAATAGTGTCGAAATTGATAGGAGTAATTGGAAAATAATCAGAATTAAAGAAAAAGTTACCAACGGCATGAAAAGCAGTTGGAGAAGCATTCAAAAAATTGATGAGATCTGATGCCACTGAATTTGCATTGTTATCTTGTTGCTTCGCCATGTTTTTCTCTCTCGAATTCTTGAATATCAAAAATCACTGTCGAAGAATTTACGATAGTGCGATGCTTGGCTGCTTGCTTGATTTCCTTAATATTTTTATATTCCCTAACCTTTATGCGGGCCTCAGATATTGTGTCACTTTTTTAATACAGAGTACTTGCTCAAAAAGAACTAAGATCATTTCCAATGGTAGCTGACCTTGTCACGTCAAATATTCAATCTAATATATTTTGTAGCTACAAAATTCTAATGGTTAATTATCTTGTTTGGCAAATGGTTGTTGGCGGTTGGCAGTTGAATGGTTCACTTGGCTTGTTTGACTAGCTGGAATGTTTGGCTGTTTATAATGGCTTTTGAAATTGGTTGTTTAAGCTGGCTGTTTATAAAAGTGTTTGGTAAATTAATTGTTGGTTGTTGGCGGTTTATTAGATAATTTGTGGGCCAATAAGCCAAAAGCCAACAAAAAAGCTACTCAAAGCAGCTTTTTCATTTTGGCTTAAAAGCCAGCTTTTTCGCTGACTAAAAATTCAATTATCAAACACATTTTTTGGCTATTTGACCACCTAAAAAAGCCAAAAGCCAAAACCTGACCAAAAAGTCATTAAAAAGTCAATTACCAAACATGACCATAGTATATTTTAATTTGGAAGAAATATAAATAATTAAAATAGTTTTTATTATACATATGTTATACTTCCTCCGTTTTTCTTTTATTGCACCATAAGGACTTTTACACTATTCACTTAATTTCTTTGACCATCATTTGTGATTTATTCATTAGGAAAAACATAATCATGTGGGATCTAGTTAGATTCGTCTCGAAATTAACTTTTCAAATATCAAATTTTTATAATTTTTACAAAAGTAAAATTGAAGATATTAATAGCTAAAGTAATGCATTGGGAAGTGTGAAATCCCACATGGTGTAATAAGAAAAAAGAACGGAGGAAGTATGTTTAATGGGTGATATTATCTTTGAAAAATCAAGCAACGTAGCTTGTTTGAGCAACGTTACTTAATCTAGCTACATCAATTTTCCACTCCAATGGTAAACTACATGCTTGTAATTTTAATTAATTTGCAAGCAAGTCCCTATTTGTATACCATTGGAGATGCTCTTACTCCCTCCATCCCATTATTTCGTGTCTGTAATTTTTTTTGGGGCATTCCAAAATATTGTCTCTGTTTTTAAAAATAGAATTAATTATTAATTACTTTTCATCTTTTTCATACAAAATACATATATACCCGAAAAATCATTACTAACTTTTTATCCTTTTCATACAATTTTTTCTATTCCCTCCATTTTTTATTAGAGTCCCCTTTCTAACATTTATTGCTCACATAAAAAAGAGAAAGGGGAATTTAATAAAGAGACAGAGGAGTACTTTCTATTAGAATATTTTTCTACTTCCACCATTTTCCTTAATTACTGTGCTTTTTGAGAAATAGGCACAAAATAATAGGATAAAGGGAGTATAACATTGGGGTATATCTTTTTAATATTTTCACCTCTCGAAACCTTAATTTAATTGTGGGTGAGTTAAAAAGAGAGTCCCCTTGGTTAAATAACTTAGTCCCCTAAAAGAGTACAGGTGACTGTAATGGTGGATGGATCTTGGTAGAAAAGTACTAGGAATGCAGGCATGGGTTGGGCTTATTCTTATGACCAACAAAGCTATTTAGAAGGTGGAGGCACTTTTGGAAAAGCATTGTCCTCTCTTCATGTGGAACTCTTGTCGTGTGTTTAGGCTCTTAAGTGGGCGCTTCATAAAGGTTATCAGTGCCTTCTTTTATACACAGAATCGCTCGCTCTTGTACAACTCATTCAGAATCCAAAGAGGAGGGAAGTCCGGCTTCTTTGGACTATTCAAGAGTTACTAAACTCTGGAAAGTCCTTTAGGAAGGGATCAACTCACGCAGGCACATGAGATTGCTAATAGATGTAGGGTCAATTTACATAGCTTTGCTACCTAGTTTTTGTTTAGTTTTCTGTTGTCAAAAAAGAAAAAATAAATAAATAAATAGTCCCCTTTTTATTAAAACAAAAAAGATACGATTACGATTTATTTAAATCTTTTTTTTTTAACGAGAAGAAAAATGATTTCATTTAATGAAAGATAGCCAAAGATACTTGCAAACAATTCCTAGGAAATCTTAATTTTCAACACAAGTACAAATTACCCAAGAACTAGTTACATCGCAAATTCGATTCCAAAAGGCGATTAAAAAGATCTAAGTATAACAATGGATTTGTTTATTAAGGTGATGGTTAATCAAATCTACGACATATTAAGTACAAAATGTGAAGAAAAAAAAATCATGAGGTCCCAAAAGGTCAAAATTTTAAAATTAAAAAAAATAATAAAAAAAATAAGACCCCATTGTTATATTTAACTCTTTTAAATATCATTATTTTTTTCAGTTGGTAAGGAGAGAGCACACTTTGAAAGTGAGGGAAAAGAAAAGGATAAGGGAATCTCCATCCTAAAGTGCTTTTAGTGTATGAGGGATAGTTCGTGAGATGCAAACTTTCCCTTCATGATTACCAATATATATAAATTAAATATAAATGATAAAAAGTTATATAGAGTATCTACTGACTATAATTATACATTATATATCAACAAGAGTTTGCTCAAGTGGTAAGCAGCTTGATGCCCCTAAAGGGAGGTCTCGAGTTCAAGCCTCATTGAATGTTCCAAAACTCTTGTTGGGAGACTGTAGACACCCAAATGTGTCTCCCCAAAACAAAACCCGGTGATGAGTACCTTTCGCGTCGAATCATAATCGAATGAAGTGAAAGTGTGGAAAGTCTAGTGTTGCGGAAAGTTTTATTTTCTTTTCTCTTCTCTCTGTTTTTGAAAACTTATTTTAAGAAAACAGTCAATCCAGTTTGGTTGGTCCATGATATGGGTCCAATAGTAGTGTAGTTGGATGGGGCTTGCAAAGACCTTTCCAACGATATATTATGAGCCCAATTCCGATGAATATTGAGGAAGTTATGGCCAATTTACTAAACTGGGCCCGGTTTGAGCTTGTACGGCCCAGTGATCTAGGGGAGGGCCTAATATGATTTATCATTCCTAATGCAATTAAGAATGGTTTTAGTCTTCTAGATTCTTCTAGAAGGTTCTTTTCATTCCTAATTCAATTAGCATTGATAAATTGACTTTTGTTGACTTTTTAGAGTTTTAATCAAAATCAAATAGCATTTTCGAGGAAATTATATGATTTTATCCTCCCGTATGGCAAACTTATCTGATTTTCGAAAACACGTTAAAATTAGGCTTGGCGCCTAACCCCAGGCCTTGGCGCCTGGAACCAGGCCTGGCGCTAGCCATTGGCGCCTGGCGCTAGTGTTGGTGTCTGGCACCAGCTAGCCAGGGTTGGCGCCAGCTCTGTTTTTTGTGCGTCAGACTCTATTTTTTTTAATTTATCTTTTTGGCTAATTTTCTCTATAAATATCGTATTAAAAACTCCGTTTTCATTCACCTACAATCAGTTTTCATTTCGCAATCATTAATTCTCTAATTCTCTCTTTAATCATTCATCATCAATTCTCATCTACATTCATCTACAATCAGTTTTAATTAGCATTCATCAATTCTTTATTTCTTTCTTTCTTTTCATATACAAAATTAAGCATTCGTAAGATCTAGAAACACCTAGCTATATTCGAAGTTGTCTTCGCCCTAGACGTGAAAGGTTTAATTTCTGAGGGTTTGGTCCCAAATCTCTATTTCAATTATTTAATTTAATTGTTTGTTTATTATTTTCCTTGAAGTTACTAACGTGTGTATTTTGTTATTAGAAAGAGGTACGAGGCATCAAAGTAAGTACTTTAATTGATTTATTGATGTTATGATGTAGACATCATGTTTATATTGTTATTATGATATTCCTAGTATCATGTCTAGGGTAATTTTAATATTAAATATGATTGTTATGATGCTTTCTACGTTCTTCCTAATATTTATGATTGTTAGTATCCTGTTAGGGCTAAAGATTTGATTTTTATTGCTTAGTGACATGTTAGGGTCTGTTATTAATCTTGTTAGTATCATGCCTAGGATCTTGCTATTTTTATTATGTTTTAATATTAACATGAACATGATTATGGTTATAATTGTTATAATTTATGATGATTATGGATGTTATTATTATTATTATTATTATTATTATTATTATTATTATTATTATTATTATTATTATTATTATTATTATTATTATTATTTTATTCATGATATTGATTATTTTATTCATGATATTGATTATTTATTATGTTGCTTGATTATTTATTTTTATTGCTTGATCACACCTTTTATGCATGTTTAAAGGGAATTGGTACTTGTAATCACGATTAATAAGATAATTAATAATCTTGTTAGGGTTAATTTGATTATAATTCAAGTGATCGCCAATAATAGTTTATTTGTGCATTAAATTCAACCAACATAGATAAACAGGTTTAGGGTTAATCCTAATGATTGCATGTTAATTAAAAAGCGCACATGAATACGATCTGAATAAAGTAGAGGCCTATTATTAGGGCAGGTTCAATCTCTTTTAGGTTGGATTTGTACCTTCATCCCCGAACCCTTATTTGGTTCTAGACCTTATGGAGTTGACGATCACTCTTGAATCGTTAAGGGGTGTAACCTTCACCTCGTGAATGGTTTACAAGTTCCTAAATAAACTTGTTGGCGACTCTTTTGCTCTATCTTTTTCCCTTTTAGACGCCACCGTACTTTAGTGTATGATCACAGTGGAGTTCAAGCTAGAGATTTAAAGGCTTGAAATTATTCCCTACAGTTTTTGGCGACTCCACTGGGGAGGATTTCTATTTTAATTCCTGAATTTGTTTCGACAATGATTTAAAATGAGTGGATGAGACTCGAAAAGTTCTAAGTATTTCATGTGCGTAATTTTGATTAACATTATTGTCATATGCATAAAAAAGATCTCATTGGAAAGACCATCCGTAATGAGTTAAAAACATAGGATTTTACACGTAGGAAATTTGAGAAATATCTTTCACAACTAGGACTGAAATATGACCGCGCGAAACTGGAAAATTTTATCGAGCACAGAAAGCTGCTGAGGCATGTGGGAAGTAGCGTCAGGGGCCAGAGCTTGGCGCCAGCATTTTAGTCGTAGCGCCAGACGCCAGTATT